CCTCACCGCCAGGAACCTTGTCCTCACCGCCAGGAACCTTGTCCTCACCGCCAGGAACCTTGTCCTCACCGGCAGAAACCTTGTCCACACCACCAGGAACCTTGTCCACACCGCCAGGAACCTTGTCCTCACCGGCAGGAACCTTGTCCTCACAGGATGGAACCTTGTCCTCACAAGATGGAACGTTGTCCTCACCGCCAGGAACCTTATCCTCACCGCCAGGAACCTTGTCCTCAACGCGAGAAACCTTGTCCTCACTGCCAGGAACCTTGTCCTCACAGCCAGGAACCTTGTCCACACCGGCAGGAACCTTGTCCTCACCGGCAGGAACCTTGTCCACACCGCCAGGAACCTTGTTATTAAAAAAAAATGGTCCGATGGATCCAATGGATTTTAGTTATATAAAAAAAATGGATCCTATGGATCTGATGGATCTGATGGATCCGATGGATCCAGTGGATTTTAGTTATATAAAAAAAAAATGGATCTGATGGATCCAATGGATCTGATGGATACATTGGATTTTAGTTATATAAAAAAAAATGGATCCGATGGATCTGATGGATCCAATGGATTTTAGTTATATTAAAAAAAATGGATCTGATGGATCCGATGGATCCAATGGATTTTAGTTATATAAAAAAAAATGGATCTGATGGATCCAATGGATCCGATGGATACATTGGATTTTAGTTATATAAAAAAAAATGGATCCGATGGATCTGATGGATCCAATGGATTTTAGTTATATTAAAAAAAATGGATCTGATGGATCCGATGGATCCAATGGATTTTAGTTATATAAAAAAAAATGGATCTGATGGATCCAATGGATCCGATGGATACATTGGATTTTAGTTATATAAAAAAAAATGGATCCGATGGATCTGATGGATCCAATGGATTTTAGTTATATTAAAAAAAATGGATCTGATGGATCCGATGGATCCAATGGATTTTAGTTATATAAAAAAAAATGGATCTGATGGATCCAATGGATCCGATGGATACATTGGATTTTAGTTATATAAAAAAAAATGGATCCGATGGATCTGATGGATCCAATGGATTTTAGTTATATTAAAAAAAATGGATCTGATGGATCCGATGGATCCAATGGATTTTAGTTATATAAAAAAAAATGGATCTGATGGATCCAATGGATCCGATGGATACATTGGATTTTAGTTATATAAAAAAAAATGGATCCGATGGATCTGATGGATCCAATGGATTTTAGTTATATTAAAAAAAATGGATCTGATGGATCTGATGGTTCCGATGGATTTTAGTTATATAAAAAAAATGGATCCGATGGATCCAATGGATTTTAGTTATATAAAAAAAAGTGGATCCAATGGATCCATTTTCGGATCCATCAGATCCATTTTTTTTTATATAACTAAAATCCATTGGATCCATCAGATCCATCAGATCCATTTTTTTTTATATAACTAAAATCCATTGGATCCATCGGATCCATGATATCCATCGGATCCATCAGATCCATTTTTTTTATATAACTAAAATCCATGGGATCCATCGGATCCATTTTTTTTTATATAACTAAAATC